TGTTTGAAAATTTCCATAATAAAGTATTTTAAGGAAGGGATTAAACTTGAAAACAAAGATACTTCCTTTGTAAAGATTTTTATATTAATTAGAAAAAATGTGTATAGAAACATTAACCTATTTTTGTATAAATGTCTTATAAAACCAGCAAAAAAATGGATTTATTTACCAAGTACTTACTAACCTGGAACAATGCTAGGTATTTTCATGCCTTCTTCTAATACATTCTGTCCTTTTTAAAAAATTAACTTCATACTTTCTCTATAGTATGAGACAATATAAGTCAGAAAGGCAGAAAAGCATTATGTTAATTTTGCAGATTCACATAGTACTCAATAGATATTTACAAGAAATATTAGCATCATATGCTCAGTGCTTAGAAGCAATCATGTAATGAAGCACTATATTGTTCATAACAATTTTCAACAATGAATTCAATATGATTATATCAAGGAACTTAAAAACTTACCAGGTCAATATCTGCTTTTTTATAGGTCAAGGCTTCAACTTTGGAATCCAGTTCTGCTTGTATTTGGTCTCTCCTTTTCATAACACCCTTCATATTAAAACATCAGGATAAAATAGGCTGCACTTAGTTTTAATAATCTTTTCTATAATGAAAATATACATTTCAAAATATAAACAGCATCTGTTCCCCAAGCCATCAGTCATTTGGGGATATAATACACTTAAGAAATTGTTTCTTTTTTAGTCTTTAAAAACTAAGTTAAAAGCAAGTGTTTAAGATAATATTTTCAGAAATATTTTATTAGTTTTCCCAATGCACATTTTATCACTTTAAGCATTATATATATATATATATATATACACACACATTTGATGGAGCAGTCTAGGCAAGCACAATTCTTCAGAAAGAGCAAAAAATAAACAAAAAAATTAATGGGAACACTAGAAGTATACGTTTTAGTGTAAACTGGGCACAGCTGGGAGGTCATATGAGCTACTCACTTGAAAATGTCTACAATCAATGGAAACCTTATCTGCCTCTAGAGGGACAGTTATTCAAACAGGCAATTACAGAAGGCAATTAGAAAACTGAAATATACATTTACATCATTAGCATTTTTTAGCTTGAAATGTATAAAAAATATTCATCAATTAGCCAAGATTTTGATGAAAAAATCATGGCATTTCTTTGACTGATAGGAATTCCATCTTGTTTTCTTGAATAATCATGATTTTATGTTTCCGTGTTTTCAAACACCCTAGTGAAACAATTGAGTGTAGATTCTATCTATATCTTTAATTACTTTTGCCAATCTTTTACAATGCCTTTCCCTTGGTGACTCACTTTTCTTCTAAGACATTCTACTTAGACTTCATAGACATTAAGAACTCTTTTATTTGTACTCATCTTTCACTGGTTTTCCCAATATTAAATAATGAAATTCTAATAATGAACACAAACGGCCTAATTGGGTTAAGGAAAAAATAAAAATGACTCTGGGTAAGCAAACAACTCAGCCAACAAGAGAGGAAGCGGAGGACGCACAAGAGAAGGGCCTTACCCAGGTTCAGGCCTTCTGGGTGTTTTACATAGGAAGGAAGAACCTAGATGCAAATCAGTTACATGGAGGTCAAATAAGATGGTTCTACACTATTTGAATGAGAACTGAGAGGTATTAAGGATAAAAAGTATCCTGAGAACCACCCAGTCTAGTTTGGCACTTGGTGAAATCACTCATAAAACATTCAGAAAAGATTAATAAAGTAACATTTCTCCCAGTTTCAAAGAAATCAATAGAAAATTCAACTAACTGTCACAAACTTGGTTATATTTACTTCAATGCTTAATGGTCATTAATGTCAAAAAACCCCTTCCTTTCTCTAGCCCAAATGACTCATACTATAGTCTAGTTCCATTTATTTAAGGTCTATTTCATAAAGATGAAATACTGTGCTTCACATTCACAGAGAGATTTCAGAGGGTGCCTCAGAAGACAACTAGAGAAAATTACACAAATTTAATCATTGTTGTCACAGCATTACTTTTCATTATTTTAGCTCATATTGAAGAAAACTTTCTAATATAAAACAGAACTGCAATATAAATACTACTGATTACACCCTAAGAGTCTACAGCATAGTTCAATCAAATGAGAACCTATAAAACAATTCTTTCTGGGTGCTATTATAATTTTTCCACACCTTTAATAACATAAGATTTAAAATGCATGATTTCCATCTTGACGTAATACAAGGGGAAATACTATCTAATTAAGGGAAGAGAATATACAAATCAGATCTCTTCGAAGAGACATTCAAGCAGATGATCAATAATGAAATAAAACCATGGATGTAGTGAAGGAAGTCAACAGAAAGAAGCAAAGGACTCCTCAGCAGTGCAACATTAGAAGCCTTTGCAATGCAAGAAAAGTTTGTTTATAGGAGGACCGCAATAAATTCAAGTAATAGCAGAAGCCTGGACTGTCCACACAATATTTAATGACTGTCAAGGGAAGCCTAAGCATGACAAACAAGAGAAAGGCTAAAAGAGCTTTTCTTACCAAGACAGAAGCAAAGAAAAAAAAAAAA